TGGTTAGAGCGCGAATTTACTGACCGGAAGGTCCGTGGTTCGAATCCGACCTCCGCCACTCGACTTCCCCTGTCTAGGCGTGGGCAACCTGGCAGTATCCCAGCCCTCGTGCTTCCTTCGGGTGGCATGGCAGCTAGGCACTGGAAGGGTGCTACAGCTGGACGCTTTCTTCTTCTTTCGGGGGTGGGGGTGGGCTTCACCTGGGAGGGGTAAGAACTATGCTGAAACCTCGAAAGCTGGTTGGATAGCGCCGGGAATTTATGTTGTATACCGTCCGTTGGAAACTGAGCTTATGATAGCGCGTTGCGTAGGAGGACCTGTGAGCAAATGAACCGGAGGGGATAAAATTGCAGTTGTACAGCTGAAATGAAATCCAGGAATCCTTTCTCAGTCGAAACACGTAAACAGACTGCACGGTGATGAGGACTGAGAGGAAAAACGTTCGTACAGTCCCTGAATATTTGGCCTGCTTTATTCACCCATTCTAACATTTATCCTGCAGTAGTGAAAGTAATCCCACCCCGAATGCGTCGAAGACAGGAACACCAAGTCGGATAAATAGGCTCTAAGCAATCGGCTGCCGTCTGAGTGCACGGCTATACGCGAGCAGCGGCTAGGCTCATATGCCGCACAATGTTCTCAGCTGCAAACCCTTTGAGAGTGTAGTAGAAAATGTTTGATTTTTTCGCGTATGCACTCAAGCTAAAAATCATCCTATTCCACGCTTATGTCTCTGCTGCTCACCAAATTTCATTCTCCGCCGAAGCAATCACGCCACTTGCGGATAATCTCTGGTGGAATACTTTCCTGACTGAGACTCCGGAGCACCTAGCTGGGGCTCAAAAGTATAAACTCGTACTTTAAACTTAATCGCCCACCCCGTCAGTCCATCTTGGACACGGAGTAACCTTCGAAATTTCAACTCAACTGTAAGAATACTTAGCGCCAGCAGAAGGGTCAAGCAATCAGATTTTGTACCCTTATTTATTGGCGCCGTAGTGCCCATCTTATCCCTTTTTTAATGTACTTGAGCCAGAGAGTCGTCCCAATTGACAGCACGTGTTTTCGCCCGAAAGAGTGAACCACTCTCACGTATTAGACGTCCAGCGAACAAATAGTTCCCAGACGTTTTTAGGAGAGATTAATGCGTGGAACAGACTACCACGGTAACCTGGGCTACTATATTTAGCCAGCTGCACTATCTACTGAATCATCCTTTATACGGTGCTTGTCCCACTGAGCTTCAATAATCTCAGGCTTCTGAATTATGTAAACACGTCTATAACGGATTCTCATATTTGTGTTTTAATACATTAAAGATGTAATTTAACCACTGGTCGCGGTTTTCCGAAACAATCAGCTTTTGCCGTGAGGAATGATCGTGTCAACAGGTTGAATTGGGAGCATGGAGTGGGAAGATTGCCGCAGTTCTGTTATTCAGGATGGGAGCATTTTTATAAACCACGTAAACGCCTTGAAGCGATACCTGGTTGACCAAACGTCAATGAATGACATTAAATTATATGAGACCATCGTCTCCCAGCTCTACGAATGCAGCTCGCAGTCTATAAACAAAGAGGTTTTGCGCAGCTACTTTAAAGAAATATTGTATATCTTGAAGATATGCTCACTACGGGTGGCAAATCAGGAAAGTTGTTTTCATCTTCACGTGGATATACTGTCCATTCTGCTCAACTTTTGCCGGAGGCTCATTAAATCGGAATGTATGATCAAGCAGTCACTTCCAATTATATGCACTATAACGAGCGTCGACGACCCCAAACTGTTCCTCTACACTGCAAACTATATTCGGCTAGCAATAAGGTACCACCCCAAAACTGGTAGCGAGTTGGCTCTGAATCCCCTGTTAACTGCTGCTGCAAACCGGCCGTCTCATGAGTTAATGAAAATACTATTTTACATACACTCATATAATGCGTGAGTTCCCTCTTTACAGTAATTCCATTTCAACTTTTTTATTCGAAACACAAAAGCCTATTAGGCGTTATTCCTGTACTTAGTTCTTCCATCCTTCACTGGCATGTCGCTGAAACAGATCAGCTCCTAGAAATTCATGGACGCAGGTGGCGTCCAGAAAGTGGAGTTTAAGTGGGTTCAACAGGCAATTAAATGAAATAGTTTTTTCATGTTTGTTCCTTAGAGCACTGAGGGCCTCATCTCTTAACAATCTCTCATCTGGGGCTGTCTAATGGTGGAATGGCTCATTCAAACATATTAACTGACGAAACAGATGAATGAATCAGCTGGAAACAAAACAATAATCTTTGTGTGGTGACAATCGTCTGTTGATTTTTCTATGTCTCACATTACTACAGTGAGACAGTCCACGGTAGAAAATGGCTTCTGCGTGCTAGATTGGAAAGCCGAGGAGCGAGCAAGATTCTACCCACTGTTTCATAGAACAACTGATTGACTAGATAATAAAGCTTGTATGTCCGATGTGTGTGCTCGATGATGTTTCAGCCGTTGCTAGATTTTCTACTGACGAAGTTCCTCTCAAGACTAAACATCCCCGTTTTGGACAAGGTATAGAGGAGGTGGGAAAGTAGTACTTGTCATCTAAAAATAGGTTTACTTTGTTGTTTTATGTTTTCACGAAAGCAAAATTGTAGGGCACTTGCTTAACTGATGATTCAAATATTCTGATTTTCTTTTCAGATATACGATTTTTGAAGTATACGGTGCTCATTCTGTACTAGTGACCAAAATATCGTAATGCATTTTATTCGGAGCCATCTTCCGCATACGGTCATGTAGAGGAGTATATGGTTACACTAGTTCTTCAGTACCTTCACGAACGTCCTGTACTCTGCCTGTGAAATCATTTGATGTTGCATCCAACACAAACGTTTGAGAACACAACAAGGGTGCTTCCATTCTTCCAATATAGAGTGAGGTCTGATACTTATGCATACATTTATATCGAAACTGTATTTATCACCAATCCCAATCTAAAACTATGGTGGCAGAGCTGTTCGGAGTTGGTAGAGCGAATCAAAAACGTGTTAAATATGAGGAGAGGTTAGCTACTCAAATTTGCTACGGGGGGCATCACCAGGTTTGTATCCACGCAACATTAATGGACTAAAAGACTTGTTAACTTAGACGGCAAAATAAGTGGGAAGGCTTTTAGTTTTTATAGCATAAAGACATTTATTGCACAGTTGTTATTTCACATCGTTCTGAGAATGAAATGACCTTTGCAGCGAATGTACATGTGGGCAAGTTTATCCGTAAAACACCGCACGGTGATTCTCATGGGTCAAATGTGATCTTGGTATCATTTTTCGGGAAACAAGGATTCTCATTTGACACCTGTTAGGTCTTTGTTTAAGAGAATGAGTTCAAATCTCAGTTCTTCTGTGAAATTGATTTTTTATCTGTTTGCTGAGCTTTTCCGTCAGTTGCCTGCGTAATATTTGAGACCTTGCACTGTGTTCTTCATGAATTTAATCCCATTAGCTTAGGGCAGATTACATCTATAGCGTCGCTCCCTAATCACGGTTTGGTTCTCTAGTTGGTAATAAGTTAATTAAAGGCTACTGTTGCATGGTTCCCTGAGGCTCGCGCTTGGTAGATCTTGCTTCTAAGTTGACACAATTCCTTTAAAAATCTTCGTGTGCAATGACACCGAATTTTCTAAATCTGAGTAATCTATTGCGTACTTTCGCTGATTCGGTTGAGATGTCTAGTTTCTTCGCGGCAGTTATTATGAGGTTTCCATTGATTATCTTGGCGTTTCTGTTGCTAAGTTCCTTTTTGTCTGTTTTGATACCTAATTGGGTTGCCATGCTTACTATCGATTGCGTGGAAGTTCCAAAGATCTTCCAAGCTTCTTGGAAGAACTTCTTCTTCCTCCCCTTGCCATAGTGCACGATACTTCTTTGAACCCATATTCTCGCCAGCTAAGACTGCTTCACTCTTCTGTTATGCACAAAACTCAACGACGGTCGATATTTCTTTTTACAGTTGAGGTAAAAGTGGTAAAAGTGGTGTAGATGTTTGTTGGTATATAATTTTCTCCTGTGTTTTATTGCATGATGCCACTACTTAGATTTATATGCTTAATAGAGGCATTTCTGGCAGCTTTCTGACTGCTTTGGCTTTGTCAACTTCTTTTGTGGTGTGCTAATAGTCTCGTGCGCCATGGTCATCTCATTTATTGACTATTTACTCAGCCATTTCAGCAATAAAAGTAACTAGTTAATCGACTTCGGTGTACTTTACACAAATGCGACCAAATGCCACAAGAAAAGTCCAAATAATTTTTTGATAAACCTTTCTTCAAAAAGAGTATAGGTCTTTACCTCTTCCTTTTGTCTTTTTCGTATTGAATTATGTTCCGACAAAACTGTGAGTATAGGTTCTCATAGAGTAAGTTAGGGTACAAAGGTATATTTTTCACACCTAGCTCAGTAATTTTACGTTCGAAAGTCTTGTATTTAAGAGGCTCATGATTACTCGCTTATTTTGTGCTTTTGTTCGGGGTATCACCTGATATAATTTTAAGCACAGTAAACCATTGTGCCATCTTGCAAGATAACGATATTACCAGACCGCTATGCCACCAGTCTACAACGGGCGTACGGTACGCATCATGTACGCATCATGTACAAACAGAGAGGGCTTAAGCCTTGCGTGACAATGTATCTCCCAGCCGGCGACTAGTGTCGAAGTCACACTCACCATTTTTCTGGAAAGACCAACCAACCTTCACGGATACGCAAAAAGGATACTGTGAAATTTAAGCGCAGGCCAAGGACATTGTGTTTTTCTAATTCTGTGGAAAGTTTTACGAAGAAGCTACAATCATATGGCCACTGGTGTCAACTACTGATAGTTATACGGTACTTTCTTATTTGGTTAGGAATTCACGGTGATAATGGTTCAAAGAAGTGCACTCATCTTTTTATCTCGGATTGCCTCAAAACCAGAGGTTTGTATGAACCTAATGAACCTACAGGTTTAAGAGTCCAACATTGTATCCCAGGAACACAATAATAACCGAGTTCAAGAATTCTAACATACACACCTACTTGTTCCTCGGTCTGGTAGATATCAGGTCACAATATCTCAAAAAGTATTTTGATTTTGTAGGCTACCTCTTTTGTCAACAACTTAATCTTCTGTCTGAAAGTATCGAGTGTCTTGATTTCTGTGCCGGACACACCATGGTTAACACTTGTAGTTAAAACAAATTAGTCACTTGGTTGTTAGGATGTACCGGCCTTCTTTTGAGATCATCAACTACATGCTGAAAAGAAATGGCAAAACAAAATTTTGGGCTCAGCGTCAATGCACCAGTAAGCGGAAAATGATTTCATAGTGAAGCCACGGAAGACTGGGATTTAATAGTCTTTTTACATCAAAGCTGTAGTCCACGGCGATTGTACCTGGTACCTGTTCAGAGTGGCATGTAAGATTTTGGTCAGCAGCACTCCTGGAATAATGCCTTAATATTTCTTCAAATAAATAATGTTTGATCCAGGGATAAGTTCTTGAGGAAATGGTTTCCAACTGATGTCAATTACACATAAATCAGCTAGTAGGTAACCTCGTGTTAGGAAAATCAACAGGAATTTCATGATTTTTGTTACTCCTCTGTCATTTTGATGCTTCATGAACATTAATCTGTCACCAATGAACCTCACAAATATTAGTTAGGGTAGTTCATTTATAGGGAGATCGGTTCCTCCAGGTAGACTATACATTATTTGTCAAGCAAATTAGATAACTGCAAACGGTGCCCAAGTCTTCAATGGTTATCCCTGTTTGCGTGATGTGGTTTTGTTAATCGTATAAAATAAGATCCCCTGAATCTTCTTTGAAATCCTTCGGTTTTTTAAATGTCGTATGGTAAGTCAACACTGTAAAAGAAACATAAGTAACTTCTACACCTTCACCAGTTGCCAACGTACTGCATAAATTTGAGTCCATGGCGTGGTTAAATTTAGTAACATAACTACTAAATGCATCAAAATTAGGTTGAGTGGTCTGAGACTGATTTCAGGATGGACAAATGTCTTGTACAAACAGATGTGTTTGACTCCTTCTAAACATCGTTGATTTGTGAGGTGTAGTGGGATTTTATTATTCTGCTACTGTACTTCAAATGATCGAATGGGATGAAGTGGGTAGCATTTAAGGTGGAGACGCTTTTCAATCAGCGGCGCCAAACTTCTAATGACTAACTGAAAGCCTGATTATAATAATCTCATTTCTAGCTTCAAGTTGTTTGGAGGATGCTTTGTTATTCTTGAACAAACATGTTCGTTTACCCTGTCGAATCAAGTTTTATTGCAATATGTACGTTGAGAGAATCTGGCTATCCTGGTAATTCATCAGACAAATTAGCTACCATGAAATGCTGCTCATTTCTTACAGCTCCCAAAGGAACAAGACGTTGCCAGGATTCTCATCCATGGGTTAGTACAAGACAAAAACTAAGAGCGGCTTCGAAACTACGCATGAATCATTCAGCTTTGGTTCTTACATTTGAAGCACACCAACCTATAGGGCACTATCTCTGTCCTTGTTATTTATCTGTTCATCTGCCGTCGCGAGGATACCCGCATCATCAGAACAGACAAAAATGGTCGAGCATATTCCAACACATACCACACACACTAAGACGGCAATCAATAACTCGGTTACTCGGTAGACCGCGCAACCTTTAATTGCAGGCAACTGAGCTGTTCTGAGTCATTAATTCACTGCTTTGCCATGTAATAGAACGTCTTTAATGTTAACATTCATCGAAGAACTGCTGGCTAGGCTCAGACAACCAGTTTTTGTGCAACAAAACTCGTTGACCCAAGTTATCCGCTCAGGTTGATGTATTGATCTCAAACCACTTACGTTGCCTTTGGAAATCTAACCGTGTTCATGTTGCTCTGATCTGGTTCAACAAACGCGTCTTTTGCTAATGAGTGAGGAAAATAAGTGAACTCACGACACTCTTTCAACCAGTTTTCCTCTCCTGGTGCAGTTCTAGTGAATTCATATCAAACAATGGAAGCGTTTGACTAGAGGCTTTCACGTTATTTCTGTCAGACAACTGCCCTAATTAAGTGGACTAGGAATTCAAATACGTCAAGTAGCGCATTTTTGTTGCTGAGCCATAGACTGGTAATTACTGTGTCAGTGTAGCTCCCTTCAAGGTAGACAAAACAAGAATGAGGACAGTTACCCGTATATGGATTTGAATCTGAGTAATCTTAAATTGTTCAGTGAAGTTCCGAGAGTTTCAAAAATGCACCCGTCTTGCACGATTCCGTGGGGGTGCGCATATAGGTGAGCTGCATAGTTTTTAATTTCCCAGCCGGCCAAACTGTGAAGGTGTACCCTCACCTTTCGCGAAAATTGACGTACGATTCCAATCGCTGACACATGAACGGGGGCATTCGGGCTTTTGCCCTGAGGTTAGTTTAAATTTGATCATTGATGAAAACCTCTTACTGTTTCGTAAGTTGGTTCCACTTACGAGGCCTTTTGAAAATTAAAACCTACTGCCACCGCGAGCTTTGGAATCACATTGTATCCTTATCAACTCTATGTTACTTTGACACCAACCTAAAAGAGTGTTTAAAGACAGACTTAAACTACCAACGAAGTTGACTATGATATTCGCATTACCCAATCTTTCAAGAAATTACGAAGTCGTGGCTGCTAGATGGAGGAGTTAGATCCATATTTGCGACATCCGACTTCACGGCGCAGTTGAGGCATTTGGTCCAAAAGATTCATAATCAGATTGCGGCACAAACAACCGTGATACGGACGGCAGAGCAATCAAATACCAGCACCTAGTAACCATAACACTGGTATACAGACGTCTTATTAAGATAAATGTGTAAAAAATTATCATGTAACCTTCAGTGCAAGAATGAGGACTAATGGCAACTTCATTGAGAACACATAGGAAGGTTGACATCTAATGGAATTTAGGGCTCATAAACTCACACAACTAGTGAAGCTGCGCATCAGATCTCTATTGCGCGGTTGCTTTGAGGGTTAGGTAATGCAACAGTCACGCTTATGCGGTGTAGGTTTGTATTCTTGTAATTTTTTTTGAAAAACTGCGGTTAGTTGGTAAAGTAGCCTGTTGTGGAGTCTCCAGATTGACACTTTTTCTCAAATGTTTTAATGGTGGTGAACTGAAGCGTACACGGTGTTTGACACGATCAGTTTACATGAGTGGTCCCCTAAAGGGAGATCTAATACCCTCAAGAACATTTAATGCATTTTAATCAGCTAACCACTGGCAGGTTTATACAACATCTTAAGACACAGAATTTCCAAAATAAACAAGTAGCCGTTGGTGCATAAATAGTTTGAGATTCGTTGGATTTCTTGTGCACGAAGAGGTATTGCCAGAGTTATGCAGTGACCGCCGTTAAGATTGCAATTTCGGCAGGATGCTGAAAGCATTTCATCAAACCGGACGTTGTTCTTATACTGGTTGTTATAAACAATGTTCCTTGTTAATGCTTACCAAATATTGGCCCATTGTAGATTTATTTTGACAGGAAAGTCACGAGTTGACGATTAATGACCCTAATCCTAATATATACTCTCTTTTCCAGCGTTGCTTTCTGGTCACCTGGTATTGGACAGCAACTTCTCAGCATTTACAGTCAAAAAAGCGTCCCGGTTCCTGTACAGCTAGATTGTTTAATACTGATTGGTAGAATCTTAGATGACATTCCCCGTACAGATACGACCTTGGAAACTTGCTTTGGAATGACACCAAGTGACGCAGTGCCTATTTTACTGAAGGCAGGAAATACCGAAGTTGGAGCTATACTAACATCTGTGTTCGTGAAATTTGTGCAGCGTGATCTATATGCATCATTTGCAGCACATGCAAACTCTCGACTTTCCAGTCGTCTCTGCCTTTCGTGGCCTGGTGCTTTGGAAGCCGCTGTAACTTTGTTGAGGTCGTTGGTTAAAGAATGCTCCGCTACAAACCACAAACACCAGAAAAATGCCACATGCATCCCTGGATGTATTGCTGCTGTAATAGGTTACCTGCGCAAAGCGGAGACTGCGAAACAGGTTCTGACTTGTTTAGTGACTCTCCAGGATTTTTCCAGGCATGTTTCTCCAAAAGTCCTGGAAGTCTATGAAGAGGCGATTGGAACTGCTTGCTTTCGGGTTGGGATCGATCAGACTATGTTTTGGGATTATCTGGACTCGCATGAATTTCAGAAAGCTCATCCTGGTCTCGGAAACCCCGTTCGGATGAATGCCGTTGATACAAACAAAACCATAAAGTGAGTTCAAGTTCACGACCTAACAGGCAATGTCCCATTAAAGTGGTACATTCATTAACGCACTAATTTGGTTTGAACGGATCTCTTTTCTGTGGTGTTTTACGTCAACTTGGTGCGGTCACAAAGCGGCCTCACCTATTTTATGTGATACAATAATAAAAATATCACGGTTTACAGAAAATGTTTTACCACCAGTTGGGTAGACATCATCAGTGCGCAACTCAGTGTGAGTTAATTGTACAAGTCACTAATTTTTATCAGCTCTTATTCTACCAAACTGATTCCCAGAAACTTTCACCTCTACATTCGGCTAATCAAAACAGTTGATGCGGGACGCTCATTTCATGTTAGATGACACGAGTGCATTGTACATACCATTCGGAAGCGGAACAGTTTCGCCAAGCAAGTCTGCCAAGGTCGTGCCCAAACAGACGTTAATGTTAGGAGTTGTGTTAGAAACAATTGGCTTCCAGACGATAAACCACCGTACTGGTAAACCAAAAGATTATGCGGCATTTTGTTTCGGAAGGGCTTGCTAAACAATTGTGCAGTGTTGTCAAAAAGATGCTTCGCCTTGTTCCACGATTAAATCCAAAGTGAAATTTCTGAAACGATACACTAAACCTTATGCTATGTAGCATGATTCCATCCTTGTGCGCTTCCAGAGGGGGCTGATGAAATTCACATCTTACATGGCATAGTTGCAGTAGATAACGCGGGGGGTACCATAAATCACTTACACAGATTGCTCACAATATTCTTGCAGAGAGACTCATGTTCACTTCGGAATTCACTGGACATAACTTTAGATTATTGAAAATCATCAGATTTTGGACGTTTTCAATGTCAAGGATAAGTGATCATGCCTTTAGGAACTTTTAGTGAAGTAGTTTCTGAGAAAATCAAAATTACTCGCTGGCATGGAGACAACCTACTTGCTTAGGATATCCTGTGGTAACATCCCGTCAATTATCCCGGGAAACCTCTGTGGTACTACAGCCAAATTGATTGTTTCATCTACTACATCAGTACGACTTATAATCAGCTGGTAAACAACTTCGGAAGTGCTGGGAGCCAGAGATAGCAGATTTGAAAGTCCGCACTCTTTACTGTTTCCGTTGCATTCACCCTGTTTGAGACGATGAACATTTGTTTAACTCATCTTGTATCCATGTGACTTCCACTGATATTCCTGAATTCAGACATCACTTATATCGACTACCGCCCAAGATAAGTTGTCATACACCCTTGTCCCTCCACACCATCGGTGAATGAAACTGTGGCCGCTATAGCCAATTTATAATATGTAGGTGGTTTTTAGGGCTAAAAAATAAAATGATACTGAAGCCTCTTTCCGGTGGTCATTTTCCCCCTGTATGCTTCATCCAGTCCATCCACTCCCCGAATGTAATTCGATAGACTCGATTTCTGTTCCGATTAGAGGTCATTAGAAGTACATAGCGTTAGTTTTATTGGGATTTAAATTCCGTTCACCCAATGGGCAAGACGATTCTGTTGTTACGACCACACCAATCCAAGTTTGGTGTACTTGACTTGGCGCATCAATAAACGACTTTATGCATCAATGACTTGAACGCCCTGGGCCACAATCCCGAACTACAGCATTCACTCTATATATTATCAGAGGTTACTAACCATTGAGATGCACATTTCGTTCAACTGAATGAACAGAAACCTTTTTTCACGGGTTTGAAAGTTGATACACCGTGTAGATTATGTTTAAAAACGGCTGACCCCCGTATCGAACATATGCCGTGGAATCGATGCACCCGTGTAAACTGTAAGCTGGTTTCTTTTTTGTTGACAAATATTTGGTTCCGTGAGTCTCAGCTCAAGTCAACTCTATGGGTTCACACATTACATCATTACAAATTACACACCACCTGTAAGTTAAACTAAGACAGAACTTTCGTGTAGTATGCAACGTTAAGCCGTCCTCAAGTAAACATGTCTAGCACCATATTGTCAGGCATTTCCAAACAAGCTTGACAAGTGTGATTTATGTTGACCCACCAATTTAGAGTCTGGTGTTGTGCCTTAACATGCCATATTTAGTTTACACTGGATATAAAGTGTGTGACTCCACGCAAAAGCACAGCCTGCCAAAAATTTGGAATAGTTTGTGAGTACATCAGCAAAAACCACAAACGAACCGAAAAACAAAGTGTGTGAGTATAATGAATTTCCGACAGGTCATCGGTATACTTATTCCTGAAGCTGTTCTCTTTAACATCTCGGCTGATAGTCAATTTCAGATTTCCACGATGGCAGTTACCGAAACATGTGCAATACAACAAATTTAGATTAGAATGTTGACGGATCATTTTTGACACCTCCCTCCTTCCACACTGCCTATCGAATCTCTTATACTGTGGACTGCGCAGTAGTTTAGTGTGAACCACAAAACTTGCAACAGAGCATTTAGTTCTCGCTTGTTAACAATGACTACTAGTTCAGTAAGATACCCCGATGTTTCGAGCTCTGTTATGAGCGTTCCCTCCTGCGGAACAGCTTTGAAAACGTCATTCATAAGAAAGACTTTCCAGTTTTACTCAACCAGAAGGGAAATACTCTGTGCCCAGTTTTTGTACTTAATAGTTACTTACAAACTCTTGGAAGCCTTCTCGGTCCTACCGACTAGTAACCGTACAGTGCCTCACCTGCACCACTGACAATATATTCTTTCAGCATTTAGAATAGTCGTATTTTTAAACTTGTCAAAATGTGGTCACATACCAAAGGTATAAGTGTAGGCAAGAGGTGAAAGAACGAAAGAAACGAGAGAGCAAGCGATAAACAGCAAACAGCTGCATCTAAATTTAAAGAAGTGTTCTCCATTTCACAAACTAACTTGCTTCCCTCCCATCTTATTCTGTCGCACGTCGATTACTGAATACCGGGTTGTTTTGCAGGGATTCGTACAATAGAAGAAGCCGTAAAACTTATTTCAGATAACGAGCTACTTCCCAAGCCGATTCGATATGCCTTGGTGTTTGGCAGATTACAGATACCCATAAAGGCAACATTTGGTTTTCGCCGTCTATGCTGCTGTTTCTGGTACATTAAACATACTTCAATTTAATACACCGAAAAATGGATGTATTTTGCAAGAGTATGACCAGATACAATTGCACTTGCAAAGTAAGGATCTGTGTGGAATAATATTGACAAAAGCCCCAGAAATACCATGCAGCTTCCAATCAGCCATATTAGTCATCCGCTAGATACACTTTAAAATCAAGTTCAATATTTGGGTTCTCTTAATCATTTTTGAGAATGCGGAATATGTGGTTATTTACAACATGGGTCTCAAGCGGCAAAAACAAAAAAAGATTGATCTGCTGCATCCGATGTCTAGACATTGTACACAATTTGGTAGCACCCCGGTGCGAAGATAAGTGATCTTATTGTCCTGATCACGATAAATTTGCGAAATTCAGAAGCTGAATTTGTATACCACAACTATAAGTGATCTGAAGGTCAACCCGTTTTACCGGCATTGCACATGCTGTGTGATTTTGAGAACCGCGTGATTTATTGAGAAGCATGCTTGGTCGCTTTCTTGGGTAGAAAATCAAGTGTCAGTTGTGAGCTGCTGGTCAGATGTGCTGGTGGAGTAATCACTGAACCTTAAGATGAACGGTTAGGTCACAAGGAAGAAAGAATAACGGAATCAGCTTCAATAGACGATCATTCCATGAAACGTCATTATGTTGGCTGGCAAGCTGAGTGTACGAATGAAGTGGTATTTTATGGTCACCTTAGATGATGCAATTACTCCCAAAGTACATAATACAACTGTTTTTTTTCTTTGCTTCCAGCTTCTGTTTTGTTGTGTAACATGGTGCACTTCCCGAGATACCCATTATTTGCGAGGGTCCTTCACAGGAAATCTTGTGCCGATCAATCCATCGTGTAAACGGTTCCAGCCCTGGAAATGGTCTTTATGTCTGGTCTTGGGAAAGTGAACCCATCAGGAATTGGGGTTAACTGAGTGTTACAGGCTTAAGACAAGCTCTAATAAATATTACGTTGACGAAATCTGAACTGTCGATAGATTATGGCTTGAAGATTCGTGCTGCGGTCAGATAACGGATCAAAGTGCTATGTACTTATAACTCATTTAAATTGGCGTGAACAGAAATACCCAAACAGGATCTCTCGTTTATACTGTCTTCTTACTAAATTTCGAACGCAAAAGTCACATCAGGCGTCAGTTTTGTTTGTGAACAAGACATCGACGTATTGCTCCCAGAAGCCAGTATTGTATGAGGTTATATTTTCAATGTTACCTTATTTGTCGCTTGCCATATCGAGGTAGCCCTTGAAATTTATGCAGTCCTTTAAACTTGCTTTAACGCCTTTTTACTTGCACTGTACTTAGGTTTTACCTACATTCTGAAGTGATGTGAAAAACTGTAAATTTGATTATGATGCGCAAACATATTCAGTATGAAAATGAGATTTCTGTGTTTCATGAGCAAATTATTGTCATCCCAATGACTGAATTATAGTCTGTGGAGATCCCGATGTTTTTCAACCAGAAAGTAATAGGCGTACAAACTTGCTGAATTCGAGGACAAAAACAAGGTTTTCCAAGAAGCAGAGTCTCAAAAGAGAGCAAAATAGATACTTTGCCAAGAAACGCGTAAGACATCATCAATATGGGGAACGTTTTTGTAGGCAACGGAAACCTAGTTTCTATATCAAGGACAGTGTTTTTTTTAAATCCGCTAACACGTCACAGTACGATCGGCATTGATACTTTAAAATGTGCCTCATCCCAGATAAAAGTATAGCCTTCCAAAATGCGTGGTCCTAGAGAAAAGTTTTGAGTTTAACAGAAAAAATAGTGACCCGGATAGAATTTCACACAACCCTAAGCGATGTGATTGCTCTTCACATTAAGCGAAACCTGAGAAGCACTGAAAAGTTGTTTGTTATACTATTTCCTCTGCGTTTTTACCAATTATTCTGTA